TTTTTATTTCCTTATCATTTGTTATAGGGTGAGTATTCAACAGAGGCATGCAAGAACAACGCCTGTTGCTGTTTTCACGAGGTACTTCGGAACAAAAGCTCGCAAAGTTTTCAACAATTTAATTATCCTAGTGTACTTATGGTATTTTTTTGCAGAAATACTGCACTAACAACAAGGGATGGTTCAGAGCTCTAACCACGGAGCCTGAATTACATTCCGGAGCTAGCAACATTTGACTCCAAAGAGAGCCATATTGTTGCCAAGACCTTGACTGGTTTAGCGACAAGCGGAACTGTGGGTGTTCTTTCGCTCCCTTGTCTGGTCTACCGCACAAAATCCCAAAGAATTTTTATCTATTGCTTAGAACCAACTGCAAGAAGAAGCGCCTTAATCGGAGCGTGTTCGACAGTTTGTGAATGTTCCTTGATAGAGAAGTAACTCAGTGCACACACTGTTGTTTTACCCCGTCAATTAGGGCCTAGAATAGCTAGATATGCCTTTCAACAGGCTTACTTTTTGTTCTGAAGCTAAATGTGCTAATCTACCACGACCCCTTCAGAAATTACTCGTAAGCGTAGTTACTATAAAGGAAAGTTTACTACTACAATGTATTTACGCTGGATAGTATGATGCCAGTGCAAGATAACTGATCTCTCCAAGGCCGGATCCAAAACTGGTAATGCAGACACCAGCCAATGACATGGCAACATTCTGTGAGAAGGCGACCACGATATAACTTGCCGCCTGCAGGAAACATATGAATACATGACGAAATCTGAAACAAGACACGATTCAAACGTATTTCCATTCTCGGAGCAACAACTGTAATTTTCGTGGATTACTCAGCGAGTTTGGTTCACAGCCAACCGCAGAACGCGGCTACATACACAAGAATACAGGTAATCACGGATTACAGAAACTGCAGAAGTTCCTAGACTCTTCAGGTCTCCCGATTTGGTTACTAATCGTTACATGCACATGTAGAATTTTTGGAATGCCCTTCAAACCTGCATAAGCTCCTTCCTCAACCACTCCTCATCCTTCGGTCCAAGGAGTGTTGAGGACCTGCCGTAGCCTCTATCTGTGGGCTATCCGCGAGGTTGACTAATAGCAACACAACGAGTCCCTGCGTCACACATCCTTTGCCCACTCGTTTCTCACTTCTGCTGGTTTCCTGGAGTAATGGCGACCATTACTGCGCTTGAAATCTTTGACTACGCTGGTGTCCGTTGCCGCATCGGCGAATGCGGACGCTTCAGCGGCGGCGGAGACAAACCTTGCTGCCCGGTCCTCCAGCTTCTCATTACAGGGCGTCTTTTCCGCATTTCTTAGCCTTAGCAAGGCTGCCTGAGCATGGCTTCTTCTCCTGCTGTTCACGGACCGCTCGTAAAGTTCTCGCTTCGCCAGAAACAAGCCGCCTCCTCCTCTGATTCTCATTTCTTTATTTCATCCGCCGTCTCCCAGGACTTCTTTGCAACAGCTGCAGGATGACCTCTGCAGGCGTTGGTCGCGGTTTTTCGCTGGTGTCCCGTGTGGTCTTGAACGAGCCCTGGATATATACTTCCCGAGGCTATCCTGTTCTAACCTTGTTGGGCGCGTGGTGTCGCCAGTCCCAGTTTTCCGGGAGCATTTCTGATTCTAGTGCGCACCTCTCGAAGCAAAGTAAGTTGTAGTTAATAACCACTTTTGGTCCATTCGAACCCGACTGAAGTGTGACAATGCAGTGCGAGCAAGGTCGGAGCGCTAGAACGTTTAGTCTCCCCTTCGTCGGAACGAGAACATCAGACGGCTGTCTTTTTTCGTAAAAGATTAATTCATATCAAGCAGTACACTTGATATGACCTGTCCGTTAGGTTTAGTTGAGTATCCAGTAGCGGAGTGAATCGTTCGCGAAACTCACACAAAAGGAAGACGATGCATGAAGAACGGAAAGGTGAACGTAACGAAGAGCGAGGGTAGATTGTTAGCTAAAAGCACCGCACCAGCTGAGACAGTTGCGCAGTGGCGAGAAGTGATCCGGTCCTGAAATTGAGTCGGTATGTTGGACTTTTGAAAGGCCATTTGGTAGGTAATGACCCTATCACAATAAAACAACGTACAATGATCACTACAGTCACCACGCTGATAAAGGAAAACGTTGTCTTTAAAGTCATATGGAGCTCGTGCAAATTTTCGGTCTCAGTACGACCCCCGTCCAAAAATTCCTTCTCTTGCACTCTTCCTCATACCGCGTACCATCTTTCTGATTCCCCAAATTTCTTACCATTTTCCAGAAAGTTCTCCAGATTTCCCGACGAAGTGACTTTAGCGGGGGCAGGGGAAGTTGAGCTTGTCGCCAATCTATCAGTAATTTCATTAATCAGAATTTTAGTTATGTAGCACTTTTGTGGTACTAGGGAACACTCATGGTGCACACGAAACAGAAAAAATAGCAAAAGTCAACAACTGGAAAGTTTTCTCGCGGTTTGGAAAATTTCTTTTTTCCACTAACGTACCCTTCCTAGACACCAAAAACGACTTTCCCTGATGGGGTCTCGCTGTCGTACCCTGCCCTGACTTTAAAGCAGTAACTTGGTGTGTCGGTTTGGTATGTAGGTGTTTATGTCGGTGGGTACGCTTGTCGTTTTGTCTGTTGAAGCGTAAAACGCCTCGATATCGCGACAGGCGATTCAGGGAAAGCAGGAAGTTAGTGGGTCCTGAAGTATCTATGCAACTGAGGAATTTTTTTTCGTAACAACCTCCTCTGCTGTAAAAGGG